TTCAAGTTATTATGACATTAGTAGATCTCTTTTATTACACCAGATAAACATTAAAAATGCATTTTTAAATGAAAATTTAGTTGAAAATGTATACATAATTCAATTTGATGTCTTTGCTAAAAGGGAAGAAAAAACACTTAGTTTGCAAGTTGATGAAATCTAAACTACACTTTTAAATAGAGATTTCGATGAAAATGTCTACGTTGTTCAATTTTACATCTTTTCTAAAAGGGAAAAGGAACACTTAGTTTGCAAGTTATAAAAGTCTATTTGTTGACCAAACTAGGCCTTTAAACAATAGTGTTTAAAGTTTGATTAAGTTGTTGCTTCTCTTGACTTCAAAGAAAATATCTTGAAATATTCTATTTATTTTAAGTCTAGTGACAACTACTTTATCATTTTTGTTTTGTATGTTGATAATATTATTTTTTTTAGCAATTTGTGTTAAACATTTGGCCAAGATAAAATTGATTAAATAACCAATTTAATACAAAGGACTTTGGTGATGTTTTAATTGTTCTAAGCATTCAAATTTATCATGATAGATCACGTAGTATTCTAGTATTGTCTTAGAGATGATATGTTAAAAAGATTTCTAAATAGTTTGACATATACTCTTACTCCCTGTATGTTGCACCTATAAAAACAGTGATAAATTCTAAATCACAAATTCTTCAAAATGATAATAAAATAATTGAAATAAAAAAAAATTATGCTTACATTTTTATATTTTGATATATGTTCAAGTTTGTACTCGTCTTGATATTGCTTTTATTATCAATGTTTTAGAAAGAAAGTCATTAGAGAGTTGTTAAGAAGGTCACATGACACTTACGAGAAACTAAAGATGATAGAAGTTGTTTCTAACTTTGTAGATTGTCTTGATAATTAAATGTTTACTTCTAACTTTATTTTTATGATGGTAGAAAAAGTTATTTCTTGAAAAATTATTGCATAAACTTTTACACCAATTTGTACCATGCAAGTAGAGTATATCACTTGCAATGAGACTAATTATCAAATCACGTGGCTTAAAACTTTAATTTCTGTCTTTCACACTATTAACAATATATTATGTCACTTAAAATATATTGCAATAATATTGTTGTTATATATTTTTTTTCAAAAGTAATAAAAAATTTTATTTAAATACTTTAATATGAAATATCTATTTATTAAAGAGATAATTTCTCAATTTCAAGCTCGAATTATGCATATTACTGTAAAGAAATGCTAGCAAATCGACTGATTAAAGAATTAAATGTTGAAGATTTCCAAAAGCCGAAGCATGAATCATCCTTTGAATTTACATATTTTTTTCTTATTAGATTATACTTTTTTATTTATCATTATTTTATATTGATGGTTATATTTTATTTTGAATTATTTGTTGGCAAGTAGTTTAGTTATAGTTGATGTTTTGTTTGGATAATTTTATATATTTCTATTAATTGACCGATGCGATCCAAGAAAAAAATGTTGTATTAATTATTTTAAATTTTTATTTTCTATTTAATTAGAATTTGTGTTAATTAATTATTTAAAATATATTAAATTATTAATATCAATTATGTTAATTATTTATTTAATCATAACACATATTCAATTGATGGATATTAAACATTTGATTTTTTGTTATTCTTTTTGTGAGCAGTTTGTGATAAGTTAAATAATTCATTCAAATCCAATGGGAATTCGCTGTCTCACAAATAGAATAATTATTCCCCATCAAGTAAGATAAATATTGCCTCATGCCATATACATATTTTTTCAATTGATCCTCATTGTTGAGAATCCTATTAAATAATTTTGAAAAATCTTACTTATAAGACCTTCAAATCTAAGTTTGACATGAAATTTCATTCAAATGAAGTTGTTGAAAGGAACGATTATAAATGTCTCTTTATTAAATAGATGGGGATTGATATTAGAAAAAGAAAATAAGAAAATTCTACTAGTTAATAAAACAAAATTTAGATAATTAAAAGAGATTGTCAGTCTCTTAAATCACATTCTTTTATAAAATAATTGAAAGAAACAGCTCTTCCCCCACCTTCCAATTTTCCCTCTTTTGATCAAATCGCTTTGAGTGTTTTATATTCCACCATGATATCAAAACGTGCAGCCAATAAAGCATTGTTCTCTCTTTTTCCTTGACAAGCATTCCAATATTTCGAGCTCACTAGACTTAATATTTTTAATTAGTAATCTTCAATATAAGAAAAAACAATTATAAAGTAATGAATCATACACAGTTTTACAAAATGTCAATTTAAATTTAAAATTTTTTAATAAAAAATATTCCAAAGATTCTTGCGGTTCCTACTTCCAAATCGAAGCCGACATAATTTGGACAGATCATGCAAAATGCACCTGACTCCCCTGAGGACTTACAACAATCCTAAAAAGGAGATCATCTGGTTGGAGAATTGAGATTCGAGCCATTAAGATTTGAAATTATCTTATATCTACCCACATTGAAACGATTGATAATGCTAATACTAACGTTAATGAAACTCCCCCACTAATCAAAAAATTCAAATTTGAAATCTAAGGTTTATAGTCAAAGATGGAATCGCTGATTATGAGGGTGTCCATGTCTGATCCATAGGTACAAAAGTTGCAACTTTTATCTTTTACCCCCCACCCACCACAATGCACATGGAATAATATAAGCTATCACCAAGCAAAATGACCCTGTCCTAGAGCTGTAAAGAATATGAATTATTAAAAAGATGTTGAAATGGTGTCTAATTATTAGTAACAAAAGTCAAAAGAAGAGCAAGGGCAATGTAGGCTGAAAATGTATCATCACTTTATCAAGAATAATAACAGCTAGGAAGGTGTAAATTTGATGCTGGATGAGGTGTTGCAACGTGTATGAGTGTACTGGTTTTGTTGTTGTTGTGGGACAGTGATCACATCAACCAAATGCCCCATTTGAGAGAGTTGGTACCTGTTGGGGGATGCATGCATAATTCACACTTTAGAAAGCAACCTGTGCTAATATGAGGTTCAATTTCTCTGTCTGCCTCCTCAAAATCAATATGGTCCCACCATAATTTAAGGAATCACATTAATGGAAAGAGAGGAATTGGTGACTAAACATAATTTTACTCCTCAAAATAATTCACTCTGTGCATTCATGGTGTGATCATAGTTACCCCAATTCCAATACAATAACGGCTTGAATTAAAGTGTAACAATCTTTAGCTGTAGTTGTACTATTCTTGGTTATACTTTAACTTATGTATGATTTTAGCTTTTTAATTTTCATTGTTTATATTAATTTCTTATTCTAAAATTTTATGTAATAATTAAGGAAAAAGAAAATGTAAGCCATTAAATTTAGAGGAAACAAAAGCTATTTTCGGGCTACTTTCTTTATTTTCGAGACGTTCTAACAACGCATTTTTTTAGCAAAAAATTTTGCTTTCAACTAACGATAGTTGAAATATGAATATAAATAGATTTTTAAGTTTTTAATGTGTTTTAAAATGTTAATTTAGTCTGTAAATTAATAGTTATTTTGGATTTAAAGAACTAGATTAATGTTTTCAACCTTTCTGGAATGAAAGTTAATGTCTCGGCATCTTTGAAAGACTAATCTGAATATTTCATTAATGAATGGCTGCGGTTGTCATGCCATGCTCTATATAAGCCTCAAGTTACAAGGCGAAGCATTGGATTCTAATATACCTTTCTTTTTCTTTTAAACATTGATTTTCTCTATTTTACACATTTTGTAGGATAAAGACAAATTCCTACTTATTTTATTATATTTTTTGAACTTAAAGTTGAGAAGTTGTCTTGATTATTTGAAATTTTAGGATGAACTTAATTTTTATTCCGTACTCTAAAAAAATAACATATACATTATTGGTTTTAAATTTTAAAATGTTTAAACTCTTCTAAATTAAAACTTATGAGTCATTTTTTTAGTTTAATTTTGAAAAATAACTCCAGATTTTATTTTTTTTACCTATTATGCCTAAAAATTCTCCTAATTACTAATTTAATAAAATATTAATTAATTTTTTATGCATTTTTAAGGTAATAAATAGATGTATTTTATATTTCCTATTTGAAAATAATAAAACGATTATTAGAAATATGTACAAAAAAAGTATAGCAACCTTCGTTTGTATCTATTCTTTCAATGTTCGGCATCAGGGCATCTTCCCTCACTCTTTCTATTAACCTAGTTGGTCTTACCTAATCAATGACCTTGCTTTTTTGTTTGTCTCTCTCCTTATTATGGATATATGAAAGGTGGAGTGTTTTAATTAGAGAGATTCAATCCATTGGCTTACGTTTGTTTTTATTCTTTTCTACTGTTCTCCCTTCCCTTTAACCAATCCAAAATTTTTCCCATTACTACATTGGTTTCATTTATATAAACTTTCATTCGGTTATTTGTCGGTAAATTATGTTTGATGTCCATGTAAAATCGAAAAATATAAAAGAAAATGTTCTGCGGGTAGCCCTCAAGCACATTGTGAGAAGCTTTATTAATATAAATTTGAAGGAAGGAGATTAAGAGAGAGGAATGTGAAAAAGTGCTAAACTCAAATATTCGAATTTTATTCAATAGTAATTTTCTAGTCACCAAACAGAGAGTTTCCCCCACAAAACCATCGAATTCAATAGCGGGGAGGCCCAAATCAGATCACCTAAACACATGCCACATGTCCATTAAGGATGGTTGAAGTGGTCACGAAGTGGTCACTGACCATTTTCTATCAAGAATAGCTCGTTTAGATTGGTATCAAATTAACACAAATAAAAATCCATTTGAACTTTATATTTAACATATAATTTAAGCTGATTTTAGTGAGTTTCTAATATCACACTTGATTCGAGTTCAAGCCCACAAGTAATAAAAATAAATAAATAAAAGGTGTGTATAAAAATAATTGCCTTGTTCCCTACTATCTCAGCTCACATGTGAAGATCTTTATTGAATGAATCTGTAAACTAAACAAATGTCATCCAAACTATCTCCCAAGAAATAATGAGACCATAAATAAAAAATAGCATCTCTAATGTATGTACAAGAAAATTCTACCAAAACAGAATGAGTAGAGTAACAGAAAAGAAGGCTACAAGTGAAGGCATCAAAGAAGAGGATGAAGAAGGAACTATCTGAATGATAAAATTGCAAGTGGGTGTTGAGATATTGTTTGTAGAAAGCTTGGCTAAACCTTGAAAATTGCATGCCATGGGATCCTGATTTTGAACCTGGTAGTACATGTTAAATGCGTAAGAGGCATTCCCATTAGCATCAAGGTTGTTGCAAGAAGAACCATATCCAAGTGCAGTGCAATCAGCAAAAGTGCAAGCATAATTAATATTATCTGCAAGTTTGCTTAGATCCTTGGCATCTGGATTAAACATGCACCACCTTTGAGAAAGATATTTCACATTCTGTGCACCTATGAGAAATTTGCTTTGACCCTGACCTGAAAGGTCCATTGGAAACTTGGGTTGCCCATCATATCTAAAAATTCCCCAATGTCGCTCAAAGTTTCCAGGAGCAATGCTCTTGGCATCCTCATCAATAAGTCCAAATAGATAAACTTCGATATGTCCAGGGCGACGTGGGGTACCTTTGTTTGCTGCTAGCCTTGGCAGAAGCCCATTATAGAACCTCAAAGCATTGCCTGCATTGGCATTCTTGTCTCCTTCTGTAGGCCATCCTACTTCCCCTACCAATATGGGCATGTCTCCATATCCCACTGATTTAAGAGCAGCAACCAAGGTATCGAAATTTGCATCAAAGACATTGGTGTATGGAGTGCCATTATCATTTACAGGATTGTCTACCCCATCAAAGAAGGCATAGTTGAAAGGAAAATCATCATTCCCGTATAGACTTAAGAAGGGGTAAATGTTCACAGTAAATGGTGCGCCATTCTTGTTGAGAAATTGCACTATCTGGGTCATGAGTTCACTGATATCAGGCCTAAAAATTCCTGCAGATGGAACAGGATTGCTCTCTGGAGACTGATACACATCAGCGTTTAAGGGTACTGTAGCCTTTACAGTATCTCCAAGACCAGCTTCATTAAGGGCATTTTGAATGTTCTGCAGTGCAGGTAGGGTGACATTCAAGAATGAATTGTTGTAGGATTTCAAAAATGGCTCGTTCCCAACTGCTACATACCTGCAAAAGAATATAGATAAAGTGCATGAATATATTAAAATTGGTCAAAAGGAAAATCCATGAAGATAGTCTGGCACTGGCAGAGAAAGAAAATATACATTTCATTATAAATTACTGTTTGAAAAATCAAAATTGACCCAAAAGGTTTCACACCATCAATGTTATGATATATAGCCACATAACAGCTCGAAATTATTCCCAAAAACATTTACATGTTTGCTTAACACTTAATGAAAAATAGCATTTCAAGAGAAGTTGTTACAATTAATATTGGATTTCTATCCAATAAAGCTTAACATGCAGTGTTTAATAATAATAAGCAGCCTTTCCACCTAAATGTTCAAGAAATTGCATGAAACTATGAAATGACATTATCTTTCAGGTAAATTATTATTTGCAAGCACAAATAAAACTTCTAGTCATACACGCGTATATCATTTCTCTTCCCAAAACCCCGCACCCCAAAAGAGCAGTCACCTCCTAAAATGGTAAAATGATTCTTAGAACAAATATGATCCTTCTCCTCAGCCACATTAAAAGTTACTAAAGGACTTAATCAGGCACTGCTACCAAAAAAAGGAATCTTATTCTGGGGGATCGCCCAGTACATAGAGCTTCCCTGATAAAAAAGAAAAAGACAACTTTTGAGTTCACTTTTGCACACTTTTCCCTGTCTGGTTCCTAAACTCATCAGCAAACAGAAATACACCATTATTATTGTTGTAGTTATCATTAGTATGGTCAGAGGGATTGCCATCCCTGGTAACAAAATCACTCTTCATGTGAATGTTAATTGAAGGCCAAGAATTTCCCTAAGGAAAAGCATACAGGGCACCATGAAGCAAAATCAATGCAGGGAATTGAAGTAACAAGCCAAACATAAATTCTCCAAGAAACCGAATACAAAGAATCAAGGACTTGGCCTCAAACGCACTTGTTCAAAATGCTAAACTAAACCCACAAGCAACAACCACATCTGCTACCAAATAAGCTCTAAAATCCACATCAAAACACAAAATAAAATAGAGCCACAAATTCACATAATAGATTTAAAACAACAATTAAAGCAGTTAACTGAGATTCAAAAAAATTGCAAAACTCACTTGACATTAACTCCTCCATTGAAGTTGTAACGTGTGACATTCTTCTTAACCCACTGTTTAGCTCGGCCATAGTCATTCATCTCAGCAAGCTGGTTATTAGGAATAGCAACCATAACTTCAATCCCACTCCCTGCCAAAGCACTCATGGTTGAATCATCTGCATCAAAAAGCTTCACTTTCTGAATCCCATTGTCCTTCAACATCTGAACCACTGTATCTGGTGGCAACTTGTGCGTTGCTTGGGTTCCCCAATTCACACCAAGCCCTTCCACACACCAACACATCACCCCCACCACCATAACCCATCTCAAAATCCAATATTTTTCCATATCAAAAACTCTTCCTCACAAATAATAACAACAACAATATTTTCTAGGGAAAAAAATAGAGGAAACAAGAGATGGGGGGAAAAAATGTATTGGCTAATAAAACATACACGGAAACTGTCTCTTCTTTCTATAAGAAGAGAGAGAACAAGCGAAAGGAACCGTTTTTAAAAGTGGGGTTCGAAGAATCAGCGAAAATTTAGCAACTTTTTCACCCTACACTAACCCACGATGAATGAGACGGTGATAGTCCAATAGGGTGATCAAAAAGGGAATAAACAAAAACACAGAAGAATAAGAATACTTATCAAGAGGAACGAAATATAAAGGATCACAATATTTGTAAACAAAACAAATATAAAAAAAAAAAAAAAAAAACTTTTTCTGTTGTTCTTCCGTGGCCTCTTATTGGTTTGTTTCTGTTACAGAAAAACAAAGGCCAGTTAAACGAGATGAACAAGAGCCAAAGGCCAGAAAAACTTTTTTTGTTATGTTTTATATTTTGTTTTTAACTTAAGAAGAGGAGAGAGGAAAAGAGTTTATGAAGTGAGAAGAAAAAGTGAGAGAGGCAAATTTCCTCACGCTTTTTTAATTATTATTGTTGTTATTGTGGGACAACCCTAACCGCGGTTTTAGATAGCCATAACGGCTACCACTGGAGAAGCTCCCAAACGAAGTAAAGATGAAGGAATTGATGTTTGAAAGGGAAAGGTATTATTATATAACACTTTTCTTTTTAAAGTGGATAAACAATAGTATTGATATTTGAAAACTTCTTTGAAAATTTTGATATAATAACAGTAAAGACTTGTAAAAGATCCGTTTCTGCTATTGGTTAGGGAAGAAGGGAAGCCTTTTGGCTGAAGAAAGGATCAGTGTTGAGATTGGGAAAGGGGGAAGGGTCATGATAGAAATTCAATTATTCTTTAAATTTACTCCCTTTAAATTTAAAATCATTCATTTTTCTTAACTGGAAAGTTGCATTTTTTGGATGTAAATTGCAATTTTATTTTGATTTGATTTGACTAATAAAATTCAATTCAATTTAAATATCCTTTTAAAATATATTAAAAAATAAATAAATATTATTTTTATTAAAACAACATTTAATATTATTAATATGTTAAATTTAATGATATTATGTAATTATTAATCAAAATTATTATATATTAATTTTAATTACACTTTAAAAATTTAAATTTAAATAAAAGGAAAGTGAAGATTAAAAACTTATCAGTGATTAATTTAAAAAGCATCATGAATAACATTTTAATCAAAATGGATATTTAAAGGGGGAAAAATACTTCCAAACAGAAGAAATTTAAAGAGAAAAGGATTACTCTCTCGTTTATTTTCATAAAAAATGGGTTTGTATATTTTATATTTTTATTTGTAAAAATTAAGGTTTAATGTATACTTAATATTCTTTTTTGTTATCTTACATTAATTTTTCTCAACTTATAAAATAATATAATATTATAAATATTTTTATAAATACGAACTTTCAAATTTTTATGTTATAAAAATTGAAAAAAAGTTAACACAACATCACCAAAGAAAAATATATTGAGTGAAATTATATTAATGGGCGTACTTTATAGTTTTTGTTTTTTCTAAACGGGTCATGCCTCTTTCTTTTTATGAGTTATTCCAATTTTAGAAAAGAATAACTATGCATTTATAATTATTAATTTAAAATATTATAACATTATACTTAATATAAAAATTTGTCAATTTATTATGTTAAACAAGTTATTTTTTTGTTTTATTTGATTATTTTATAAATTTATTTTACTAAAATAAATTACTCGGTAAACAAATATTTCATTAACATATAATTATAAGTTACAACTTGTAAATTTTTTATTATTATTTTAACTCTTTTTACTATTTTCAGAGCTATATTATTTAATAAAATATTTTATCTTCTAACTCGTCAAATTTGATCATATATCTTTTCTAGCTTGTATTATCTCATAAAATATGTAAACAGTGTAACTCATAGTGAAATGAGTTTTTTTTAATTCAATTTGAAATTTTGATAGAATTATTTTTCTAAACTCAAACTCAACTTGTTAATATTGTGATAAAATTGTGTTAACCTAATTTATAAAAAAAAAATATCAATTTTAACGTTATGTATAATTATTAAATCATAAAAATAATAATACATGAAATTAAAAGTATATTTTTAGTATGTTCTTAAAATAAAATATCAATATAAATATAATATCATGACATTCAAAATATTTTTTAATAAACTATAGAATCTGATTACTGACTCATAATTACTTTAAAAAATATGTTTTTTTTTTAATTCTAATATAACTTGAACTCAACATTAAAATATACTAAATATAATTTTAAAACTTAAATATGTCAAAATTAACATCTAAGACTTGATGGGTTAGGGAAACAAAATGGATTTTGTGCTTATAAATGCACTTTTTAATAAAATATCAAAATTTTGATTATCACAATTCAAATAAAGGAATATAAAAAGTAAATTATTTTAATTTGTGTTCTCTTCGTACCATTTATGAAATCGGATTTAACAGTGTACTTCTATTTTACCTGTTACATTTTTATTTTTATTTTTAATGAAATATTTTGACATTATCATTACACTTAATTTTCACTTCCTTATTATATATATCGATCATAACATTTATTAATAATATTTATTCGCTCGTTAATAATATTTTTATGAAGATAACATTTTTGCTAATGTTGTTGGTGTAACTAGAATTCATGGGGTAAATATTTTGTACTTTATGGCTAATAAAAAAGTTTAAATAAATTATTCTTAATTTTAAATAAAAAGATACTAAACTCTTATATATCATATATTCTGTTAGAAAACGAATTTGGACTCATTTTTACAGCAATAAAGTTGGATACCATTCACTAAATTTATGTAGTTCATGAAGTTGTTTTGATAGGTTTGTTCTTTGTATCTGATCTGAATTGAAAGTATGGTCCCACAAGCACTGAGCAGATCCATGAATGAACTAATAAGATGAATTTAAGATTTGATTTATGATTGTGTTGTGTGGAAGTTGAAGTGGGAATGTTGACGCAACCTGCACCTCTCCAACTCTTTACACGCAGTTACTGCTCAACTTTCACGCGCATTCATCTCAATATAATCAATATTTATTATTCAACCGTTTTTTAATATTTTGGATATGAACCGTGTGGAGCCAGACTCAGATTCGGACATTTCATCACACCTATAGTTTACATTTATATTCTACTACGCGTTTTATTCTTAAATTGTACAAAAGTGTATATAATACAAAAATAATTAATGATACTTATTTTAGATATTTTTATCAGTATTCGAAATATTATAATTATTTTAATTATTTTAATTCATATAATTTAATAAAAATGACTTATAAAAGTTGTTAAAAAGAATAATTTTTATTAAAAAGTATCATATTTAACAGTATATATTAAATTTTATAATTTTTGTACAAATATTGCACATAGATTTTTATAATACACTTAAAAGTACAACTTAGTTCTTTTAAATAATAGGTGAAAAAGAGATAAAAGCCTAGCTACAACGAACTATTATTAGTTCTTGCCAACAATATTATATATATATATATATATATATATATATATATATTGGTTATTTATTATAAAATTATTTTAAATATTTTTTACAGTTTTTAATATAATATTATTTGCAAGGTTTAAAAAAATTATATTTTGTATATATTTGTGTCATAAATATTTATGCAAATTAATTAGAAAATAATTAGAATATTATAATTATTTTTTAAAAATTTAATTCATTAATAAATTTTAAAAAATCTTAATTGAAAGAGTCATATAGATATAGTTAAAGAAAAATACTGTGTATATATATTTTTTATGTAGAATGTTATTGTTAATTGTTCATCGTAAAATAAAGATGCAACCTCACTTCACCTATGTAGGGGTTCCAACATAAAAGTCGACTCTGTCAATCTATTTTTAGTTGAACAAAATTGATTAATTTAGCCTTTGAAAAACAACTGAGCACAAACACATGGATACACTTTTCTTCCAATGATCTAATTGTGGATTCGTAGACTATTCTAGAAAACACCTAGATTAAAGATTATCCACTTTCTAAATTTGTATTGAAGGTAAATAAATGTGTAAAAGCAATAAAAAATAATAAATAACCATGTTAAGCATCCAAAGTAAAGAATAAACATAAAAAGTTTTATTTGATTAATGAGATTTGAGTGTGTCTTCTGACACACTTTTTAACATATTTTTACTTTTATTAAATTTTATTTTAAATAAAAAATAAATTAATTTAAAAATAAAAAAAATAAAATTTAGTTAATTTTTATAATTTTTAATAAATTTTAATTAATAATAAAGAGTATATTAAATAACATGTTACTAGCATTATTTATTAATATTTATAACTTTAATTAAATAATTAATTGTATTAAACTTATTAATTATATTTTGAATGAAAAGGAAATTATAAAAAATAAAGAAAATGATGTATTTAGATGCGGAGGAATTAAAGAAAAAAAAAATATTTTTGTGCGAGTTTATTTAAAAGAGTCCACTTCTAAATAAGAAAAAGTGAGAGAAAAAAAAAAGAAATGATAGTTAATAAAAAAAATTATTTATTTTTAATATAATTTAATTATTTTTATTCATTTAAAAATGTAGAAGATTTTTTTAATTTTTTTAATTTTTTTAATTTTTTTAATTTTAATTCATCCAAACATTAAATATAATTTATTATATTTTTTATTCTTTTATTTTTTTTTCTATTTTTTTATCTTTATATTTTATTTCACATCCGAACATACCATAAGTGTCTGGGTAAATATTTTATTAACTTTATTTTGAATGCCTTTAATTTTATAAATTTAATTTTACTTAAATGAGTTTAAAATAATGATTTATGTTAAAAATAAGTTTATAATAAAATGAAAGATAATTTTTTTTGAAGTAGTAATATTTTAATATAAACTAATTTATTATTTTAATATTTTTTAAATAATATTATTTAAAAACATATTTTTTGTTTAGAGTTTTTTTATCATGTCAACATTTATTCTATCCTCTCTGCAGATGAAACTTATTATTAATTTTTTAATAAGTTTTATATTCAATAGAGATCAAATTATGAGATTGTGCCGCATTATCATTTGGTAGAACAAAACTCCAGTGGGGAAGCTAAACTGAGTGCTTCAAGAAAGAGTGAAGAATCTTTGCATGTAGAATTAAATTTGGAGATAATTGTGACAACCATTTAAGTACAATCAATTTTCTAAACAACAACTTGAATCCATTGAAATAAGTGATAATATTCAACCTCTTTAATTCTAAAAATTTATAAGAATGTCATTTGTGTAGCCCACTTTCAAAGATTTTTTTTTTTGTCAAACAAATTTTGTAAGTTGGGCTAGGATGAGAAGTGACATAATCTTGTTTAAAACTTACAAGATGATTACACATGATTAAATATGGAAATAGGTCAAGTTGTCCAACAGGAACTATAGGCTAGGCTTTTTAAAGCTTAGTTTAGCCTAACCTATTAAA